AATGCAATGGCAATGAGATGGGATCTAGGTGAATAAAGAAGACAGAATAGAATTTACAAGTTAGAAGTTGCTGGAAACAGCTTAGATAAATGACAGAACCCAGTTTGATTGGCTTTGGTTATAGGATTGCTATTACCATGACACATGTTCCTTCCAGACTACACAAAAAGCCCACATACCTTCCACTGCCTTGACCTTTTCCTCCAACTCTCTTTTCTTCTCTTCCTTTAGCATCTGCTCTTGCTCCTTCTTCTGCACTGCTATAAGAAGTTGACGTTCTTCTTCCTCCTCTTTGCGCTTCTGTTTTTCTATTCTGGCAATCATAGGAGTCTCCTGTGAGGAGCCAGTAAATGTAGAGTCAATATACAACAATGTAAGATGTATTCTTCACTGAGTTAAGATTTGATTTTTATTGAATTCAATCTATTTAATCCTATCTAATAATAGACAAACAGGGTAATTGACCGTACCTTCGCTATGCTTCCCACTGGCTAATCGAGATATGCAAATTAACTGCCAACAAAGATGACAGTTAATTTGCATATGTAGGCGGGAAGCATTGGAGCCAAGACTGAAGGTGGCTCCGGCCAGAGCAGGGAAGGCTTTGAAGGCGGCTCCAGCTGGAGCAGTGATCAAAGCAGGGCTGGTCAGAGCAGTGAAGGCTTTGAAGGCGGCTCTGGCCAGAGCGAAGGCCTGGGTCCCCGGTGCCGAAGGAAAACCAGTGCAGGCAGCCAGGAGAAGGGAAGGCCTATTGCACGAATCTTTTCGTGCAACAGGCCTCTAGTAAATAATATTAGATAGCTAGAGAATGTATAGCATACTTACAAATTCGGTTTTATCACCTAAAGAATACATATAACATATATGTAAATACACTAACATTAAAACACACCGGAGATTTTAAAAATGGTACAAATTTTGGGCCCAATGGCTTATGTAATTTGTAGTCTTTGGGAGGTAATATTATAAAGAATACACTGAACTGGAGAAGAACAAATTGAGGCAATTCAGAGATCTTTTTTACAGCTTTAATGTTGGATAAAAGTGAAACCTGAAAAAGTATTGTCATCTAAGTAAAAGGATGAAAAATATTCACTAGACAGAAAACAGAGTCACAATTTCAACATTATGCATCACTCTGAAACCCTTAACTTTTATACTTTTCTTTAGTAGTAAAACAATGAGTAAAATTGGGGGGGATGGTAATAAGGACCACTGTTTTGCGTTAAATACACTGGGAATTTGCCTAAGGAATCTAATAAAAGAAAAGGTAAACAAACACACAAAAAAACAGGACAACTATAATTTATTGAAGGTTTACTCTGTATATTTCCCAAAATAAATAATCTGCTTTGGCTCACGAAGTCAGAGAAAAGGGGTCTAGGGGACAGGGTCAGGGGGTTAACTGGGGACCAGATGCCTCAGTCCATTGCTCCCTAGTAAGTCTCCTGGGTTTCTTAACTTTAGGAGGAAGATGAGGGGGAAGGGAAAGGCAGGCTTGCTCCTGGGAGGGAGAGCACTGTGAAGCTTTTCTTAAAAGATCTTTTCAATAGGAAGCAGATGTAAGAGTCTTTTATGCAGATAAATATTTAAAAATTTCATACTATGGAAATTGTTGAAGTGATTTTAATGTGGGGGAAAAGTGAATATAGATCACTATTTACACATGTCATAATTAAACACAAACTGATTAAAATTTTGTATTATTTTCTTTACAGGCCTTAAAACTAGTTTTGATTCTATATTTGATTCAGATTTTGGAAGTTGTCATGCCTAGATAGGCTTTTATAGTCATTTTTATCATTAAATACTGTAAGCCTGACTTAAAAGGAGTTTGCTATCCAAAGGTAAAATCTGGAATGGATGAGAAGAGAGATAAAACTGAAACAAACAAAAATTAACCATTATTACTGCATATATAATACTGTACTCATAAGGAACCTCAAAACCTAAATAGAATTCAAGTTCCCCAAAATCTTTATCTATAACCAGAGTAGACAGTTAAATATGCTATATATTGTTTCTGAAATGGGGATGGTCCTGGCATTAAGCAAGGACAATTCTTCTGAAGAATTTGTCTCTCTAGTTACTGGTTCTTAAAGGTCAGAAAAGCACTTTCTCTGCAATGCATGAGTACCATTCCCTTTACCCCATCTCTCCAGGTCCTTATTTAGTCCAACTTTTAGGCAACATCTTTCCTCAGCTGAGAAGTTATGATGAAATTATAGTTAATAAACCAAAGCAAACCAAAATAATTACTTTTTCTTCTTTCAATCACATAGAGACTCCAAGCTGATACTACCTTTAATATAAAAATTCATATGATGGGGGAAAAGGAGGAGACAGAGGAAAACTAAGTCTTGTCAAAGGAATTATTTCATTCAAAGAAAACTGTACTACTTTGAGACACATAAAAAAGAGAAAAAATGGGCATATATTTACATGTAACAATGATAATGTGTATTTTTTTTAAAAAAATATTTTTATTGATTTCAAAGAGGAAGGGAGAAGGAGAGTGAGATAGAAACATCAATGATGAGAGAGAATCATTGATTGGCTGCCTCCTGTATGCCCCACACTGGGGATCGAGCCCGCAACCCGAGTATGTGCCCTTGGCCGGAATCGAACCTGAGACCCTTCAGTCCACAGGATGACGCTCTACCCACTGAACCAAACCAGCTAGAGTTAATGTGTGTGTATTCTGTGCCTCTATGACAAAAGGACAGCTGGTGAAAACATGAAATATTCTTCCTTTGAAGAGTACAAGAGGATATTAATAGGACCAAGAATTTTATTAAGGACTAAAGAGATGCAAGCCAATGAATCATGAATAGAAATATTAAATCACCAGAGTCACCTGGAAAACAACATGGAGACATTTCAAGCATTAAGTCAATGGAAGGGGAAAAAGGGAAAGAATAGTTAATTACATAAATCTTTACAATATATAAATATTTTTATAATAAATATGATTTATTATTCTTAGTATGTAACAATGTCTTACAAACAGTAGCCACCCCCTAAACAAACAGAACACAAATATAAAACATATATAAGATAAACCACCCACATCAATGATCAAAAGGAAGAGCACAATACAATAGCTTTTCCACTTATAAAATTGTTAAAAATGATACAAAGTGACACATTGTAAAGACTGGTAACATGTCTTCTGGATGACAATCTGGATATATGTATCAGGAATCTATACAGAGTACTTACACTTCTTAAAAATGAGATAGGCAAAAATGTTTTTGTGGTAGATTAATAGGTGATATTATATACTCAATGCAATCAACAAAAATTTCATTTCTGCCCTGGCCAATGTGGTTCAAGGGTTAGTGTCTGCCCATGCATGGAAAGGTCATGGGTTCAATCCCCAGTCAAGGGCAAGTGCCGGAAGCGAAAAATTGATGTGTCTCACATCGATGTTTCTGTCTCTCTCCCTTCTACTCTCTAATAATCAATGGAGGATTCAAAATTGGTGGTAGTAAGTGGAAACTACACTGACACTTTCTCAGGACTAAACTGGAAATATAATTAAAATACAGAAAAACCACCCTTAAAAATGAACTGAAGACTAGCTGGTGAGAACCCAGATAACCAAGGAGGGAAAGTGGAGAACGCACAAACTGGTAGGAAGTGCAGAGGCATGAAAGGGCTAGAAGAGCTCCCACAGAAAACTCTGTGGTCTAAAGCCAAGCTGGGCTCCCCAGCCCAAAGCACCAAAACTGAGAAAGGTGACTACATAACATCTGGCTGTGAAAAGCAGCAGGACTGCTGTCTGCCAATGAGAGACTGCTGGAAATGCAGGCATCCTCTTAAAGGGCCAACACACAAAATTTCATGTGCAGCCATTCACCTTGGGTTCTGGCAGAAAAGACTGGAGCTCTCTGAAGAGACTCCAAGAATGGGGCCTGGGGTTGGAGATCAGAGGGCAGCCACCCAAGTTTCCTTTGCTGGCAGACCTTTGCTATCCAGGCGGTTTTACTTGAGGGTAAGGCAGTTGCTCCACTCTGTTGCAAGACTTTCACCCCACCTGTGGTCTATAGCGTGAGGCTAATCAAGATCGAGTGTCCATTGGACTGCAGGCAGAGGAGGATCTCTAGAGCAGTGGTTCTCAATCTTGGCTGCACATTAGAATCACCTGGGAATCTTTTTAAAATCCTGATTTCTGGGCCCCATCCTCCGGAAATTCTGTTTCTTTATTATGGGGTGGGGTCACAACATTAGGAACAAAGAAACAGAATTTCCTGAGGATGAGGCCCAGAAATCAGGATTTTAAAAAGATTTTCAGGTGATTCTAATGTGCAGCCAAGGTTGAGAACCACTGCTCTAGAGGCTTTGAGTCTGCCTAACCTCCTTCTGTACCCAGGACTAGGAAAAGCAGACTCTGGCGCACATCTTGGTCCTTGCCAAAAACACCTAGTCCCATCAGAGGGAGCCTCAAGCTGTGGACTGCTGTTATCCACAAACAGGGTACTCAGGGCTAGCATCTGGCCTCAGTTATGCATCTGCACAGGGGGAGGTCCACCTAGAGGGGGAGAGCTCTTGTACTACTGCACAGCTGGCCAGCTGTGGTCCAGGAGTCCAGAAACATCTGGTTTGGGTTGTGGATACGGCATGAGTTTTTACAAGACGACTATCCTTCCAGTTACCACAAAAAAAAGGCTCCTCACAAATACACTGTGTAGTTAAACCTTTTAAAAGGAGCAACAGACAGCATCTGAGATTGTCCTACACTAGATATTGGAAGTCATAGCAGACCTACCCAAAGAAGCAGCCATAATGGGGATACAAAAAAACCACCAAACCAAAGAACAAGAGAATTCTCCAGAAGAAGAGCTAAACAAAATGGAGATAAGAAATTTATTAGAAATAGAGTTCAGAATAATGATGGCAAGGATGGTCAACAGCATTAGAAAAGATATAATAACTATGAAGCTGATGGTCAACAGCATATAATAACTATGAAGAAAAAAAAAATAAAAAAAAGAAACCCCCCCCTCCCCCAAAAAAATAACTATGAAGAATAACATAGCACTAATAAAGAAAACAGTGGGAAGAATACACAACAGATTAGGGGAAGCTGAGGATAGGATCAATGAAATCCCTCAATCAGAGAACCAAAAAGAAAAACAACAACCCCCCCCCCCCAAAAGGACAGCCCTAGCTGATTTGGCTCAGTGGATAGAGCATCAGCCTGAGGAACAAAGGGTCCCAGGTTCAATTCCAGTCAAGGGCATGTACCTTGGTTGGTTGCAGGCTCCTCCCTGCAGGAGGCAACTAATCGATGTGTTTCTCTCACATCGATGATTCTGTCTTTCCCTCTC